ACACACACACATACATATGCATATATGCATATATGTACCTGTACCAAATGCATGCCTATGCACACGTGTATGCATGCACAGATGCATGTGCAAACACACATGCAAGCACACACATCTCACATACACACACCCATGCACACACTGGCTATGCAGAATATGACGAATATGCTGGATATACATACACAGATACACAGTGTCCTGAATGTGTGTGTGTGTGTGTTACAGGGAGAGATGTGCCAAGTGTATCTTATGATCACAGAGAGTTTATAGATGGTGAGCTTGTATTGCTGCCTGAACTGAAGCCGACCCAACATCTCCTGCCAAAAAGCAAGAAAGACAGTGAGAACAGACAGATTCTGTCTGCTGAGTTGGTGTCACACACATACATAAAAACTATGTTTATCTAAAAGTGGTATAAAATAAAAAAATATTAATACCCTGAAGGTGCAGTATATGACTTGAGGCTTTGCAAATATATCAATAACCTGTAAAGCAATCTATACACAACATAGAAATATGAATTTATCTTAAATTGGAGGGTCAGTTTTGTTCTTTTCAGTACAAAGAGGCAGATAGATGGGAACAGACAGGCCTAAGAGAAGGTAAAGTCTGAGCTCATGTGACTATCAAACACAGCACTAGAGTTTCATTGGCACTAAATATAGCAAGTGTGAACATTTCTAAGGCGTCTTTTCTCCTATTTCCTCCTTTTGAAAGAATATATGTAACCCGTCTATACTTCATGCATCTGTTTGTGTACATGTGGCGCGGGTGATTGCTCTTCTACAGTGGACTGCTGTTTGCACAGAGACATTACATAATGTTTATCTGTCCTTGGGTGCTCGGGTGGAGGCATCTAAGAGTCATTAGATCCAAGTGTCCTCCCTGAACTGAGGCAATAAACTGAAAGAGAGTGAGGGAAGAAGAGTGAAAGAGATGCAAGCAGACAGATACCCTCACAAAGCATCAGAGAAATGATCAGCAAGCATCCGAGAAATATGCACAAATTGAACCTTTAGTCAAAGCTGAGTGATTTAAAGTTTTGCTTGTGATATGTTCTGCCACAGGGGTGGTGCCACGGGGCTTCATGACATGCCTCACACCTAAAATCCATTACAGTGATAATCAATTCAGCAAACTTTTGGGAGCTCATTCAGGTTTTGCACATTGGCTGTGACATTAGAATGAATGAAGACAAATATTATTGATAATATATTACTACAGAGCAACTCATTGGTTGTATAGCCTAAGCCTTTCTCTTATATTGATAAGATTGGTGCAGTATAATGGTGAATAAGACTTGTGCCTGTCGGACCATTTTTATCTACCAGTGCTGGCTGGCTAACCAACGTCTCAGTATGTCTTTCTCGCTCTGACCGAACAGATTATGGTATCATCATACACTCAATCTGTGTTTACTCAGGATCCGTTTATTAACTTTTACTGAAACTGCATTACCACCAATGGTGGATGCCAACATGGGGAAACTGAGAAGATAAACTTGACAGAAAAATATAGATCTATTGTGTAAAAAATATTGCAGATGGAACTTACATTTAATAAGCTTTTTAGCCTACTCCACTTAAATGTATACATGCCAGTCAGCTAATGATGACTTTCTGAACATGTGTTGCTTGTTTGAGCTGTCTGCTAGTAGGGTTGCTACTTCCTAAATGAATAAACAACAAAATTGATATTCTGGTGTTTTTAATGCAGTGAAAGTCAAATATCAATTTTGGCATCACCAATGCTGCTCTACTGGTGCTCGGGTGGCAGGATGAGCAGCAGGGAGGTAAGTCCATGAGTGGAAAGAAAGAAAGTGGCCTATCTCAACCCACCCTGCCAGTTTCTGGGAAACAAACATGGCCATTTCCTTTGTGGACTAACCTTTCCTTTGATCAACAAGAACAAATGTGATAATTAGCCTTTCCTATCACAATTGTACCCTCCACTTTGACATCAGGTGTATTAAAAAGCTCATGACCAAAAATGACCAAAAGGGGAACAACCAAATAACCGCACACAGGAATTATGGGAACAAAAACAGCACTGTGTCCAACCACAACATGACTCAACACTGCACTGATCAGTTCTGGTAGCTTTGGTCTATAAATAAGGCCTCTCTATCTTGCTCATACGTCATTCTGTGGTGGCACACTGTCCAGGCAAGTGACTGTAAATGAGACCCTTGATCTGGTTTTGGATCATGGCCCTGAACACTTGTACAAGAGATTCTGTGGAAGTGGGAGAGTGCGTCAATTATTTGTATTATTTTTTTGTCCAGCTTAAAAAAGTGATCTTTGGAGAGACCCAGACTAGCTGTTTTCACCTGCTTACAGTCTGTATACTAAGCTAAACTAACTGTCTCCTGGGCCTCATTGTAGCCTCACATCTAACCCTCAGCAAGAAAGTGTAGAACCATTCCAAAATAGACAGGATAGATGGTAAACATGGAAACCAGTAAAGGTGAAGTATGTTAAGTGACACCTACGCTGGGCTGCACTGTATCTGACACTGTATATGTTGCGTCAGCAACAAGTTTGGTGTTTCTTTGGGTTGTGCGAGAGTGACATGTGAAGCACACCACCTGTCATATACTGAACAAACACAGAGAGTCAACTGTTCAGAACTAGAGATGAAACCTCAAGAAGTCTTTGTACTACAAAAAACCCGACCATCAAAGTAAGAGGAGCCCCACTTGATGGTATTCTGGGAGTTGAAAGTCAGACAGTCCTCAGCTCAGGGTGCTGAGCTTCATACCCCCTGTATAGATTAACTTGACAGATCCATATGTCACTGAGGTGAACAG